ACACACACACACACACACACACACACACACACAGCCAGGGTGCTCGTGCCCTTCCCTCCCTCTCCAAATATTCTCTGAGGGGCAGAGTCGGAGTCCTGAGGATTCTGGGCCTGAGCTCCAGCTCTCCGGAGAGGAAGTGTGGATGAGGGGGCAAACCAGGTCCACCAGACCTACAAGGTCGGGGGCCTGACCCTGAACCTCTGAGACTCCCTGCTGGGTGGCTTCACAGACACCCCCTCCCCCGAGAGCTCAGGCCCCTGGGTCTCTGGGTCCCGTGTGTGTCATCAACAGTTCTGACCACAATGGCCGGTACCACCACTCGACCACCAGGCCACAGTGAGACCAGGTAGAGCCAGGTGTCCCGGCCCCAAGGAGACACACTGCTGGAAACTCCAGACAAGTCAACAGAGGCAGGGGTTCCACAGAGCAGCCTGAGTGATCGCAGGCTGGTCATCAAGGCGGGCAGCAGGACACCCCGGTACCACATGAGCCACGTACATCACCCACAGATTCTCACCGTGTGCCTGCCCCCACCCCAAGTGACATGTTCAACTCAAACTTCTGCCACGTGTGTTGTAGCACACACAGACACAGACACCAGATAAACACCAAGGAGGCTTCTTCTGAAAGGGGGGTGAGGGCGGGAGCTGTCTGCGCAGGCTCGGCAGATGCAATGCTCTGCTGGACCATCCCCAACCACTCACACACTCAACAAAACAAAAACCACTCTTGGGTTCCCGTGGCCTCCTCGAAGCCCAACCGCCTGCTCAGCCCACAGAGGGTCCCAGGCCAGTCATAGGACGGCAACTAAGTCGGCTGCTACCAAGTAGGGGTTCACTGGACCTGGGGCCACAGGGCGGGGGCCCCCAGCACAGCTGGAGTCAGCTAGCTGTGGTCAGCAAGCCACGCTGCACAGTGGGGAGAGAAAGCAGGGGGACCAGCATCCTTACCCCAAACATCATGCTCATGGGACCCACCAGTTACAGAACCCTGACCCCTTCCCCGTGGCTGGTCCAGCCATGGGAATGCTGTCTGATGGCAGCGCCAGCCTCACATGGTTCCTGAGCACTTTCCCTGTGACCAGCTGGGTGTGAGAGGCCAGATCCAAAGACTCCAGCCAGTCCAAAAGTACAGACTACCTCTCTAGGTTCTCAGCTACCGAGGGCAGGCAGGGTTACTAACGGAGCGAACGTGTGGTTCACACTCAGAACTACTGCGTGGCACGTACGGTGGGGCTCCCAAACCAGGGCCATCCATGTGACCCCACTCAGACAAGCCACTGAGGGGGTGCACAAAAAACACGGCAGGGCCACCCCGGGCGATGGCCCAGGGGTCCAGCCACACACAAAAACTCCACTGCCACTGAGTCACTTCCGAGTCACAGTGTCCTAGAGTCCCTAGGGTCCTGAGACTGTAACCCTTTACAGGGCTCACCTCTCTCACAAGAAGAAAACCCCTAACCTTGTAGTTAGCAACCCAACACTTAACCCACAGTGCCACCAGGGCCCCTCCAGCTGACGCTCCAACTTCGACCACGCCCTCAGGGCCGTGTGCCTGCACTCCCTCTGCGGAGCACCCTAATTGCACCGTCTCCATGAAGGTGTCAAGTGAAAGGCTGGCTCACTGCCTGCCCAACACAGTGGAGACCCAGCCCTGGGACCCCATACCCCAACCCCCACCCAGACGGGCCACTAGAGGTCAGCTCCTGACAGTGACCCATGAGGAAGTCCCAGAGGGCCCAGAGCTGTGCACAAAGCCACACCACTACAAGATAGACGAAGCAGTGACACAAACCACTGTCACCCCCTCCCCAGCGCCTTCTATAAGCACTTGTGAATTGCTCCTAAGGATACAGGACCACAAGCTGGGAGAGCGCCCACTTCCCTGCCCCAAAGGAGTTGTGCTCAGAGATTGCTGCTGGGCACTTCAGGATCGGGGGGTTCTCCAATTCCTCCCAGGACCTGTCCTCAACAGCCCACTGCTCGCTGGGCCCCTGCAGGCCACCTGGGTCCCTGATGGAAAGCAGAGCTGTCATACTTGGCCAGTCTCCACAGGAAAGGGAATGCTGGGGCAGCTGTTGATGAGGCCGCCGCCCCGTCCCCCCAGTAGAGCATGTTGTTGCTTTCTCAGCGCCCCCACGGCTCACCTGGTGCGAGGGAAGTGCTGAAGGAGTTCCCAGAGCGTGCGGCCTGCACAGAAGGTGCTTTGCAGCCGAGTCCCATCATCCATCTGCAAGGCAATGCGGACCTGCGGGCAAGCACAGACGGGCACCTCACCTGGGAACAGCCACTGCTGGCCAGCCTGCTCTCGGGCCGCCAAGTGGGGGTGTGCCCCCTCCAAGCCTTCCAGGAACGTGTGAGCACCTGGAGCCTGCATCCACTCTTCTCACACGTGGGGAGACACCATGTGTATGCACATGCATGACCATGCACCTGGCCTATGTACACGCGCACACACACGTGGCCTGCACATGTGCATGCTTGTGTGTACATGTCCACATGTGTGTGCACGTGTGTGTGGGTACAGGCCTACAATACGCCGTGTGGCTGCACTGTGCACATGCATGACCACGTGCACACACATGGCACCGTGCGTGTGTGCTCCTGCATGCTTGAACATGTGTGCACACATGCCTTGCACTGTGATGTATCCGTGCACAGCTGCATGTGTGCACACATGTAGCACACACACACAGTGTGCATTTGCGTGTGCTCGTGTATACATGCTTGTGCCCATGCGAGTGTTGCATGTCGTGTGGGGATGTCAGAGATTCAGTGGCTGTTATTTTAGAAGTAGATTGCCAGGTCTTTTTTCCGAGACACCTCTGCTGTTGTGAAGTGCCATTGAGTTGGTTCTGACCCATAGCCACCCTGTAGAGAGTTTCTGAGGAGCAGCTGGTGAGCTTGAACCACTGACCTTGCAGTTCCAACCAACTCTGCAGTCCAGCGTATTAACCCACAGTGCCACACAGGACTCTGAGAGACGTTTGTGTGGAGCTGAACCTTCGACCTTTCAGTTAGCAGCCCTCAGGGGCTCCTGCTGCCCACAGGATCAGCGCCTCAAGCTGTCCCTTCCTTGTGGAGGGTCTGGCCCTGTTTCCATAAACCAGCTTCGCGCGCACACGCACACGCACACACGCACACGCACACACACACACAGCCAACAGGTACAGCAGCTCAGGCCGTTCCCACCAAGGGGTGCTCCTGATCGGGGCCTGACTTGGGGGCCAGGTCCATTGACCTGAGGCGCTGCCACCACCAGTGTTCATACAGTAACATGAAAAGCACAGTACAGCTACTGCCCACACAGGCCTACCTACCGTGTTCTCAGGCCCCTCTCGGCTCCGGGAGGTGGGCACCATCTCGAGCTTGGCATTGTTGGGCAGGTTGGCAAACCTCCACTGGAGGGAGAGGTCAAGCACACTCCTCTGAAACCTGTAAACCGGACCCCAGAGCATCAGCCACGGTGTGCTCACACAGCCCACCCAGCTCTCTGGCACAATGCTACACCTGTCCCACAGTCCCCAAGCTGCTCCCTCAGGACTGCAGCAGCAGAAGTGACCACCTGAGACCACAGGCCTGGCAGGTCTTCCAGAAAGACTCAAATGAGAAGGGCAGAGAGAACCAAGATGGATCAGGCACATTGGCCTTGGACCAGGCCAGACCTGGAGAGCCAGAGGCACACAGAGAACGCAAGCAACATGCCCGGCCTGGCTCTGCTCGGAACATCTGGTCTAAACAACGCCCAGTCTCCAGGCCCAGAGCTGCATCCACAGGAGCCTCAGCCACCAGCCAAACGGACCACATCATCATCACCTCAGTTTCCTGCTGTCCCTGAGGTAGGGCCATAATCTCAAGGACAATTAACAAGTAGAAGAAATGGCAGGAGGAAACTCTGGCCCAAAGTCAGAATGGTGCTCCCAGTGGCCAGGACTAAGGGACTGGGCTGATGCTCCCATTTCCTCCAGACCCCCCAGCAGTCACTGTCCCCTGCCTGTGCCCTGCACACTGAGAAGGACCAAGAGGACAAAGCCAGCATGGCTCCCACAGGGGGAGGACTCAAAGACTCCTGGGCCCAAGGGATGGGGCTTCTCAAAATCAGCCAGGGGTGTGAAGAGGGGGCGGGGCAGGAGGCAGACCTCTCTGGAAAGTGTGGTCACTTGTAACCAAACCCTGTATGGCAAAATGGTCAACCAGGAGCTCCAATGAGAGGGGCCCACCCACGCCAGCAGAGGGTGCCCTGAGGTCTACTCCTGAAAGCAAGAGCGGGCAGGGAGAGAGGGGAGCGACAAGGACCCCTCACCTGTGTGAAGATGCGGGTGTGACCAGTGACCACAGAGCCCCCTAGCCTCGTACCATCCAGATTCCCCGGGCCCTGTAACCCTGGGGGCCCTACAAGAACAAGGTCCACAGCTGCCAAGCCTAAGCAGCATCTGAGACCATGACGGAGAAAGACAGCAGGCCAGAGAGGACCATAGCAAGGTGAGACAAGCCCTTCCTCACACAGCGCGAAGGCCAACCTCAGTACTCGAGTGCTGAGACAAGCAAGGGGGGACAGCTACAAAGGCAGAGAGAGAAAGTGGGTGAAACTGAAATGCAGACACTAAGCAGATAGTGGCCCCAGCGACCCTTCTCTGCTCACGCTCAGATTTCCTAATGCTGCAGGGGCTGAAAAACAGCCACGCTTCACGCCAGTGACGAAAGTGCTTCTGCAAATGAGGACAGAGATCCCAAGGGGAAAAGGACACCTCCCACGCATGCTGGGCAGACTGTCCCCAAAGCTGCAACACATTTCAGACAAATCACTCAGTTGATGGATGAAACGGAGACCCACCAAAAACCAATAAGGTATTGCAAGAGAGTCAAAATGTTTCCACGGGGCTCCAGTGGGGGGATCCCTCAATGGCTGACACACCGAGTCACAGCCACCAGAGAAAGGAGATTCAGTCCTGAGTGGCCACACCTCTGGGTTCCAGTGGGCACCAAGGGAGGCTGCGGTGGTCGGGACAGGGATACTGAAGACGGCTTCAGAGGGGAGGGCTGACACACACAGGACTCCAGGGTTAGGGTTTCTGAGCACAAACAGCCAGAGGTACTAGGACCCTCAGCGTTCCAGTTAAAACCCACAGCCCTCACACACACTGCTCCAGCTACATGCACCTCTCCCCTCACTCTTCCTGAACCCCAAGCTCAGTCACAGCTGAAACGGCCTCTCCTCAGACCAAGAGGTCTAAGTGTCTCACACATAATCACACATACCCACAGACAGGGTCAAATACAAACACGCACAATCACACATGCAAAACATATACACACACACACAGCCAGACTCTCACATTCCAACGCAAACACACATAAACTATACACACACACCTCACTCATACCCAGTCAGACTCTGAGTCAGACACAAACACAATCACACATACACAACCAATATACACCTGCTCACTCACATACACATACCCATTCCAATACAAACACACACAAACCATACACACACACCTCACATTCATAGCCAATCATAAGCAAACACACAAGTACACACACATAACATACATACGATTCACTCACATATGTGCACCCAGAGACTCTCACATTCAAATACAAACAATCACACACATGCATACTTACTGACACACGTATACACTCACACACAATCACATTCATGTATACACACACACACACACACTCCCATCTGGTTCAGGTCCTCGTGACCTATATATGCTGTCTGTCTGCGCCCATACCAATGCCCACTGTGCCCTACATCCTTTGGGAGGGTCATGACCATGCAGGCCTGGCACCATGCCAGTTCACAGTAGGTGGTCAGTCAACAGGACAAAGAGCTAGGACCAACAAAGAGCAGCCAGCAGCACACCGTGTCTCTCCACAAGCCAGGTGCCCAGGCCGAGCGCAGGGCAGACTCACTTCAGGTCATAGTCACAGGGGTTGAAGTCTTGCCGCCGGCACGTGTCCTCCAGGACCTGGAGCAAGAGAAAAGGGCAGCGAAGCACAGAGGCATGAGGTCAGCAACGGACACCTTTTCTGCTTCTTTGGAGGCCAGTTCACTCCGCCCACACAGAGCCCACCCAGTACAAGGCCAAAGACAGACTGTCCACTGACAACACCCCTGGGCACACGCAAAGATGCCATTCAGCCTGCCCCTTCTCACCGGGGCTCTGAAGTCACCCCCAGCTGTGCTTTCTTGTCATTGTTAAGTGTTGTCAAGTCATCCTGACTCACAGTGACCCTATATTGGGTTTCCTAGGAGTGGCTTGTGAGTTTCAAGCGCCAACCTTGTGGTTGTGTGCTTATCCCACAGCACCACATCGCTCTGGGCTTCCTCAAACTCCACACCCCCACTGCAAAAAGAACAAAGGCTAGACATTTTAGGGCCCTGGCCTCACAACACCGACCTAGAATATCTACCTGCTTCCACCACCTGCCTGCCTGTCTCCACCTCATTTCCCCAAAGCCAGTTTCAGTACCTAGTTGGCCCCCTGTCTGTGGTCAGGGAGTCCCCACTTGCTCCTAAATATAGCCCACCAGAGCCCTTTCATGCAGCATCTCACCACTGTCCCGGCCTGTGGACCCCAGATTGTGTCATGGAGCGCCCCTACCCATCAGTGGCAGATAAACCAAGCGTACCCCACTGTCCTTGAGTCAAATTCAACTCACAGGGACCCTATGCTGCTGATAAGTGCTGTCGAGTCAATTCCGACCCATAGCGGGGTTGCCAAGGCTGTAAATTTTTTCGGGAGCAGAACGCCTCATCTTTCTCCCGCGGAACAGCTGGTAGTTTTGAACTGCTGACCTTAAAGTTTGCAGCCCGATTCGTAAGCACTACGCTACCAGAGCTCCTTACAGGGGGGACCCTATAGGAGAGTAGAATTGCTCCTTGGGTGTCTGAGACTAAATCTTTACGGAAGCAGACTCCCACAGCTTTCTTCCCAAGAGCGGTTGGTGGGTTAGAACTGCTGCTCTTGCAGTTAGCAGTCCAATGCTTAGTTCACAGCGCCACCAGGGTTCCCAGTTTTAAATCTGACTCGTCATGTACTCTCCGGTCTTGGTAAAATCGTGACCCGGATCGAAGACCAGCGCACCTAGCCGGAGCAGCCAGAGGTCCAAGGTCAGGGGGTCACCCCGGCATGGGGACAGGGGTCTAGGGGCGTCCTCGGAGGCTACAGTTCGCCGAATGCTGTGGTTACGGGGGTGACAGGGAACGCTGCCCACCCACTAACCTACCAGAGGGACCCCCGCGGAAGTCTGGGCCGCGGAAGCGGGCGGGTCCGCCGCGCTTAGAGGCCGCCCATTGGCCACTGCATCAGGCCCCGCCCCGACGTCAGCGGCTCCGCCCCCGAAGCCCCCAAGCCCAAACCGCAAAGGGCGGACCCAGTGCCGGCTTCTTCGCACTGTGGCCCGTGGCCTGGTCACTCGACTGCCCCGGCCGGCGACGCACCTGCAAAAGCAAGGTGCTCGGCGTCACCTTCACCATGTGGCGCCGCCCGTTCGGGGCCAGAACTGATACCGCCGGGCCCCCGCCGCCTGCCGGGGACGCCATCTTCCGCTCACGTGACCCCCCGCGCCGGCTCCAACTACTTGCTCAGCGCCGCGGATGCTTGTCCGGGAGGCGGGGCGTACTTCCGGCCTGCGCAGGCCCCGCCTCTCCCTGGCGCCCCCGCCCCCGGCCGTAGACTCCGGATCCGCAAAATCCGCGGAGCTCTCGGCGGGATCCGCAGCGGTACCGGGCAGCGCCGGGCTGGAAGGAAGAGACCCCGGCTCACCACGCCCCTGGCTTACGCCTGCGCCCACCACTGTCCTCACTTGCCACCCTCATCCCTCCTGATTGAGTCTCTGCCCTCCCCAGCGTGGTCCACTAGGGTCCAGGCCCGCTGAACTCTGCGGTCATCTCGTGTCCTCCTCCACCTGTCTGCAGTCACCTTGATGGGCCTGGGCAGGCCCGTCGCTCTCTTCTGCGCCCTCTTCTGCCGGTCCTGGGGGTGGCGTGGCATGAGGGTCCGCCTGGAGTGACCGCATGGGGGCAGAAGCACCCAGGACTGGCGCTAGCCTCCCGAGGGGTTAGCTGTCCCGGGCCCCCTTCCTCTCTCAGCCTCACGCCAGCCTGGCCCACTCCCTTCTCCACAGAATGATCCTACCATGTTTCTTCCTTCTGCAAACATCCTAAGGGCAATCTTGTCCCCTAAACTCCTGCCAGGGGGTCACCCTTCTCTGCCTGCCTTCACTCCCTTCTAGGATGCATTCTTGCTGTCTCCACCTTTACCATTCTGGTCACCTTGTACCCGATGGACGACCTACCACCATGAGACCCTCAGGCTCCCTAATGCTCTCCAAACCCTCACATTCGCCCCTCATCTGGCCTCCAGATGTGAGTCCAGGGACATCCCAACACAAGGCCTCCTCCTCTCCCTCTTGGGCTCCTCACCCCACTTCTCAAACCTTGCAACCCCTCCCCGGACAGCCAGCCTCTGCTTGGTCCAGCTCTGCTCCGCTGTCCCTGTGCTCTGTCCTTGTCTTATTAGACACCAGCTTCTTGAGGACACACCTCATGCATGCTCAGCACTGGTGGGCCGTTTGCTGATGAATGTTTGTAACTGGAAAGAAGAGAGGCCTAGGTCCTCACCTCCCTGCTGGTGTTGTCTGTGGCGGAGAGATCCACCCACACCCCTCCCTCCACCTCCAGGCAGACACCTCTCACAGAGCCCAGGCCTCCCCACCCTGGGGGCCTCTACCACTGGTCTGCCACTGCCTCTACCATTGGTCTGCCACTGGAAACCGGGTGCAGTCCTCTAACTGGTGGCTGCCATAATTAGCACTTGCACAAGCTCCTTGCCCAGGACCTTGGACCTTGGCAATTTCCACCTGTTTTGTCCCTGACCCTGGGCTCCTGCCCTCTCCTAGCTCAGTCCTGAGCTCATCAGAGCATCATGGATGTGCCCATCTGCCCTTCTGTCTCCCCAGACCTCCTGGCCCTTGTTCACCTTTTACCCTTGCTCCACCATCTTTGTAGTGCAGTGGTTACGAATCGGGCTGTGAACTGCAAGGTCAGCAGTTTGAAACTGCCAGCTGTTCCGCAGGAGAAAGATGAGGCTTTCTGCTCCTGTAAAGATTTACAGCTTCGGAAACCCTGTACAGGGTCGCTATGAGTCGGAACCAACTCCACGGCACAGAACAACAACAACCACCACCATCATTGGAGCCCTGGTGTGGTGATGTGAGTTAACGCACTGGACTGCAAAGTCAGTTTGAACCGTAAGGTCAGCAGTTCAAGATCACCAGCCACTCCACAGAAACCCTATACAAGCTTGCTATGGGTCAGAACCAACTCAACAGCACCTCACAACAACAATACCATCATCATGGAAACTGCAGGGTAATGAGCTGGACTGAAAGATCGGCGGTTCAAACCTACCAGCTGCTCCTCGGAAACACTATGCAGGGTCACTATGAGTCAGAATTGACTCGGGCACTTAACAACAACAACATGCCATCATTAGTTCCTGTAGTAAGTAACTCAGGTGAATGCAGATGTACAGGAGAAATCACTCAATTCTTTAGCCCTTTAAACAGATCTAGGTTTCTAGTTGCCACCCAACTGATGGGACCATCGCTCTTCTTCTGGGAGCTGTCACACCTTTGTCCAGGTGATGTCACACCTATAAACTTACAGACACAGACACCTGCAAGAAAATGAAGAAAGCCTCCAGAATACGGAGGCTGAGCGCCCCCACCCATCCGCAGGCTCTCTCCAACCTCGGGTGTCCTTGTCTAAGGGCACAGTGTTGTCCTGGGCTTTTGAGTCTTGCCCATCACAAATGTCACCAGGTCACCATGGGTCCACCCTGCCACTGTCTGTGATCCTGGGAGAATTACAGGATGGCAGATCCTTGAGAGGGGCGGGTGGGTAACTCCGGAGGTCACATGGTAAAGTCCACCAGGACCACATATACAAGTTAACGAAGCGCCACAAACAGAATGACTTGAACCTGCAGAAACGTGCTGTCTCACAGTTCTGGAAGCCAGAGGTCTGAGATCCAGGTGTCAGCAGGGCTGAGCACCCCCCACCCCACCCCTGAGGCACTAGGAGTGGCCCCTGACTTTGTGGGCAGCATGTGATCAACATCACTCCAAAGTTTGGGAATTCACTGTGTCTGTGTGTGTCCCTTCTCCTATTCTTAGAAGGACACCAGTCGTTGGATCCGGACCCACCCAACTCCAGCCTGACCTGCTAATGACATCAGCAAGGACCTTATTTCCAAATTATATCACATTCTGAGGTTTCTGGTGGACATGAATTTGGGGGGGGGGGACACTCTTAACCTACCACAGCAGGTCCTGCAACTGAACAGCCCCTTCCTTACCCTGCTCTGGTGGGTCTTAACCCATAGTGGCAACCAGTGCATCGTGGGGCTCAGAGCTGATCCCCTTGGGACATTTCTGGGTGCCTGTCCTTCAGTTGGTCAAGAGCCCGCATGGTCCTGGCTGTCAGGCTGCCAGTTTCTGCCCACCAGCTGTGACAACCAAGCTCCCTTGCTACCCACATATCCGCACCCAGCATCTCATCAAGTCACCCGGTGGGTCCTCAGCGCCTCATCTGCAGCCTTTGGTCTCCAGCACCCGTTAGCAAAGCATCTCCTGCCATGGCCCCCTGGTACACCACCTCCCAGCATGCAGACCCCGGCACAGGGTGAAGAAGGGAAGAGTGACCCCTGACCCCTCCCCAAATACTCCTTCACCTGCAGCCCACATCTCCCTTCCAATCCCTGGTGGGCTCAGACAGTGAGAACCGCCTAACTAAGCATGGCTCTGGGAAAATCAGGTAGGCATCCTGAGAAGAGCCGTGGCTTCTGAAGAGAATGCAGCTCAGGGATGAGGGAGTAGATGGAAGGACTGAATTGAAGCTGGAGCCAAAGCAAGCTGTGAAAAGCTCCAGGAGATTAAAAAAAAAAAAAAAGAGGCCTGAAGAATGGCTCTCCCTTAGGCAGGGGTTGACTTACACCCAAAGCCAAATTTTCAGGTGGCTTAAAATCCTCCCAGCAGGCACGTGGTGCTGGCTTCTTATGGGAGTCTGGGGCCTTTGTCAGGGATCAGTCTTGAGCTGCCCAGATGCCAGGACATGATCTCAGGGTTCAAGCACAGGGCTCAAGGTCCTCCTTCGTGCCCCAAGGCTGCTCGGAGCAAGGCCTATAAGGAGGCTCTTTTTGGAACCTCTCCTGTTTTTGTTTTTTTACAGTTTATTTGTTGTGAGAATGCACACACCCCAGTCTATACCAATTCAACCATTGCTCATGTTCCTTTCTAGGGTATGGAGGGCAGCCTTCAAGTTTCACAGCTGTTCTCATCTTGCTTTCCCAGCTGCACCTCCCCACTGACATAAACTCGCTGTCCACTAAGCCTCCTCATTAACCTTTGTCAATTTGATCTCTTAGAGAAAGATCTGGAAAGAGCACACTGCTCAAGGCTAAGGATCTTTATCTACGGCTATTGTTGTTAAGTTTGTTCCAACTCATAGCGACCCTGTATTGCTTACTTCAAAGTAGACTTCAGAGAATACGTTTTGGCTTAAGGTTTAAAATGTAAAGGTCATCTCAGGTCATCCGTTTCTGACATTTAAGCAGCCTCAACACCTCTAGAAAGTCTGGATTCCATGGGACCTAATTTTATACAGGTATCCACTGCTATTTTAAAGCTTGCTTCATGCCACTTTGTTTTTACAAAACACCTGCATTGGTCCCTGTTTCCATTAACCAAAATAAATCAGAAAAGCATTTTCACTTGTAGGATAAAAGGCAAAGAATGAAATTAGCAGGCAGCATTTGTTTTGCAGGGAGCCGATAGACAGCGGAGTAGAGTAGCCCAGCTCCTTCCCTGGGAGCCACATCACCCTGTCTCAGCATCTGGACACTGCTGCTTTGAGCTGCGCATGATTTCTACTTTACACAGGCTGTGTATTTATCAGATCATTCCTGCTTTTACTATGCACTGGTGTGACTTTAGGTTTTATGTGCTATTTGGTGTGATTTGATTGGGTTATTCTGGGGGCATCTGGGAATGCTCACATTTTTTTCCACATATATAAGCAAGGACAATGGCTTCTTCCTTTCTTGTCATTTCTTCAGTGTTAAGGAACACTCTACTTTTGTGTTGCAGGGAAATCTAGATCTGAAAAAAACCCGACAAGTCGGTATGCAAATGTTCATAGTAGCAGCTTTATGGGTAATAGCCCCAAACTGAAAATAACCCAGACGCTCTTCAGTGTGTAAAGGGTTCCACAAACTTGTATATCCATAGTTTAGAATACTACCCAGCAGTAAAAAGGAATGAAGTCTTGATTAACATGCAATGACTCGGGGTGCTTTTCAGAGAACTGAGCTGAGTGGGAAAAACACCAGACTCAAAGGACACTTCCAGGTTGTGATCCCACTTACATCACCGTCTTGATATGGCAGCATCTCAGACATGGAGGACAGATGAGGGGTTACCGGGAGTTGCGGGGGAGGGGCTGGAGTGAGGAGAAGCAGGCTTGTGGTTAGAAAAAGCAAA